TATATATATATATATATATATAAATTGTACTTCTTTATTTATGGGAAGTGCCTTATGTGTGCCTCTGTGTATTAAAATTATTAAACTTTATTTGTATTATTATTTTGAAGCACCGTTATGCCGTTGTCTTTTCTTCAGCCTTTAGACAAGCTGCAGTTTCTCACCTCGTATCTGCGAGCAGCTCATTTTTACTGCATATGGTGTGGGACGGCATATAATGGTAAGAAGTCTTAACGTATAATAACTGTTTGAGCAGATGCATAAATTATAAATCAACTAAAATGTTCTCATCCGACAGATGAGGAGGATTTGAGCTCGAACTGTCCTGGTGACTCGGCAGCAGACCATGACGACTAGAGCAACCTGGAATAATCTGGAACACTTGTTTTTAATTTGCTTTTGACCTTTTTTTTGCATAGCTGTGTTTGATATTTATCCGTTCATTAAATGCTGCATTGATGTTTTGATTATAATTGTGTGTATGATTGTTTTATATCAGTATATTGACCGTGATGCATCACTTCTGCATAGCTGAATCTCAACCAATCACAAATGTGATTGCATTGTTATTAATTTCATTACTTTTTATTAATTAATTCATTGTGGTGTGGACTGTTACAATACTGTGGTATTTGTAGATTAACAATGATTAATTACTTTCTCCAGTTAGCCTGAAACAGTGGTTGTGTACATAATACTTGTAGATATTAAGATTTGTCTGTGGTTTATTATAGTATATTTGATTTTTATAGTATAGCTTTAAGCATTTAGATTAAATTGATGATATTTTGTTCCAAATTTCATATTTACAGAAGGAAAATGCCACCAAATGTCATAAATTCGTTTTTATATTATCATACCTGGTAATTTATTTCTGAGTCTAATAATTGAAAATAAATTTATATAATTGTAATTTGTCTCCTGCGTTTAAAAACGGAGGTTAATTTCAGGTGGGCGGGGCTTATCAACACGCGTGACTTTTGATTGGCCAATCCAAATGTTTAGCGATGACGTCGGATTCCGGAAATCGAAACTAATCGATTTAAATGATACGAAGAAATGAAAGTAAACTCGTGTCTGTGGTGGACGCCAGTGTGAATACACTGTAACTGTTAGTACCGTGTTAAGTTGATTTAAAATCACGTTAATGCGTCTTTTAGTGCTGGTCCGCTGAAGATATGACGCTCTGCGTGGCGCTCACGTGCTGCTCAACATAAACTTCTACCGCTGTCTTGTTATTTTAGCTCTGTTTTTATCCGTGCAATGGAGTCTCTGTCAGGGAACTACATTTCTCAGCTGAACGAGTACCAGCAGAAGACTCAGTGCAGCGTGGAGTATGAGGAGGGATCCACAGATGGACCGAGTCACAACAAAACGTGTGCAACTCTTACTCATTCAGTAGATGTGCGGTCGAATTGAGTCAACAGCTTCTGGGCTGCTGTGAGACAGCGCAATGAACTATTAACATCATTGTTGTGTTGTCAGGTTCACTATGAGGGCTGTTGTGAACGGACAGCGGTATTCTGAGGGCACTGGGAAAACCAAGAAAGAGGCCAAGCAGAACGCCGCAAAGAACGCGCTTAATGGCATAAACATCACTCAAAATATTGAACCTGTATGTACAAATATGTTATATATTTTTTTTTATTATTTACTGTGTATGTTTGTATATATATATATATATATATATATATATCCTCCTAAGAGCTATAAAAATCACTCAAAATATTGATCCTGTAAGTACAAATGTTATATATTTAAAAAAAAAAAAAAAATTTTTTTACTGTGTGTGTGTGTATATATATATATCCTCCTGAGAACCATAAAAAAAAGTTTTGTGAATTTTTTTTTTTATGCATAAGAAACAAATGTAGAAACAAAAACATTTTTGAAAAAAATATATCTTATTCATATTTTATTCTATGTCCTTAAAAAAAACAAAAATCAAATCCACATGAAAAGGCATGCATAGGCAAAAACAATGTTTTATTTTGTCATTCACCAATCAGTTTTTAGGGTTCAGGACTTTGTACAAAGACGATTAATCTCAACTATGTTATGAAAGATATAACAGAATGATTTGATATACTACTGTACTTTATGCAATATGTGCGTAAAATGTCCATAAATTGTCATTCCCATTCTACACAACATAGTTACACTGCATCTCGAACAGGACAGACTTAAAACTGTTGCATGTAGAGAAATTCACTAAAATATAATGTCCTCTACAGAGGACAAAAGTCCTATAATACATATTATTGTATCTATATAATATTAAATATGATGTTTAATATTGTACACCATCATATTTATTTAATTTTGTGATAATGCATTAGTTCTAACAATGAAAATACTTCTAAAGCATTTATTAATCTTAGTTAATGTTAATTTCAACATTTAATACATTATTAAAATCAAAGTTGCATTTGTATTAACTAATGTTAACTATAATGGGTGCCAGGAGGATATAATTCAAATTATTTTGAAAAGTTACAAATGTTATATAATACATAACATATTTTCACTGATATCTTCTTATATATACACATATTGTTTATTATAATATATAAACATAATACATATTTATTTACTTATCTATTTTCTTATATATTGGTAGTGCTCTGTATAAAAATGCATATATAATATTAAATATTATGTTTAATATTATACTAAAATAT